ATTTGATTAATGTTCCAATTAAACCAATCACTTGAGAAGAGCACATTAGTAATAATATTGTAAAATAAGAAACACTCCCACCATAATATATGAAGGAAAGAAGAAGAACAAGAGTCATGACTAATCCACACATACTTGATTCAAAGATATTAATTAATTCTTTTAAATGTAATTCATCAAAAATACTACTCATTGAACTTTGTTTAATTTTTTCATTTAGTCCACATTTAGAATGAATATAAGTATGTCCATAATATCCAATAAATACAAAAGGTGAAATAGATGTTTGTGTTGAATTATTTTCTTCAATAAATTTTTTTAATTTCATTCCAATAAATGTTGTACCAATTGGTATCTTTATCAGTAATTTGCATAATGAAATTGCCTTTGAAATAAAACTAGATTCAATAGCATATGATGCTGATCCCAAACGATATGAAAATGTTTTGATTAATGCTTCTATTGGATGAAGCCCTTTGTTTTCATGTAATTTATATGAAACAGTAGCTGAGAGGAACATTGTAATTATTGACTCAAAGATATAATAAAACATATTAGAAAATATCATTAATAAAACACTTGCAACAAAACCCATTGGTGGTGTAATGCCTGGATATCCTATTAGATTTAATGAAATGATACTATGAAATATTAACATAATAATAATTGTAAAGATAACAATCAACATAATTGTAGGAAGGATAATTAATATTGATGAGAAGAAAAAACTGAATGAGGTATTATAAACAATAGATGTAATTGTCCAATTAAAGTTGAAATACCCCATCTTTTTATAAATTAAAGGAATAACAATAACAATAGTAAGAATTAATTCTAAAGGATGATGTGATAATCCATTATTCATTCCTAAATAAAAGAGTAATACAGGAAATATAATTGTTGGTATTACAACAGAAAGAACTAAATTTAAACTATTCAATAAATATCATTTTAGAATAAGATATATTAAACACAAACTAAGTAATTATTGTTGGTAAAATACGATAGAATAAAAGAGTTCCAATGAATAATAAAATAATTATAATTACTGAAATTACTAAAATATTGTAATGTACATAACTAAACAATTCTCCTGAAATCCATTGTTTTTGAGAAGTATTAACATACACATTTCTGGGGTCTTTAACAAAACCCATAACAGTAAATAAAGTAATCCATAACATTAGTAAAATAACTGTTGCTAATCCTTTTCTATCATTTAAACGATCAATTTTAAAATATGCTGATTTATCAAAAGCTTCTTCTGGAATAGGAATTTCCATTAATTTTTATTAAATCAAAAATTTTTTTTAAGTTCTTTTCCCCTAAAAAATTCCTTTTTACTTTTCTTGCTTCATTTTTATTTTTCTTTTCTCATTCAAAAGAATAATAAGATTGAATATTTCTTTATTAAAACATCATTTAGTCTTATTAACATGGTTTGTGGTACCAAACCTCTTTTGTTTCTCTTATATTGTCCTGAAGAGACAATTAAAACCCTTCATATCATTTTTCCTATATAATCGGGAATTTCTCTAATTATTAAGAACTTTAAAATAAAAAAAAATCTTAAACGTTAGATTATCTTATGTCGAACGAAGATACTCCGAAAGTAATATTGAGCACATATCCAACAAATTTGATGATAAACCAACCAGCAACAATTCGTTATCAAACACTTCGGAAATTAGTAACAGGATTTGAAAAAGTAGGTGCTGTTGCATCAAGTGAAAAATTGACGGAGGCAGTGTTTCGTGTATTAATAAGTAATGAGGCAGATAAAACTTACAAAGACGCTTTGATTCAAATAGTTCCTAAATTAGTTAAAGTACTAATGAAAGGACCAGATGCAGATGAAAAAACAAAATCAAGATGTATCCAATGTTTTATTCAACCATTATCTGACTTTTTAGTTGGAACAGAAAGTTCTGCATTAATAAAGTCATCAGCAGCAAGAGCATTAGTAGCAGCATATTCGTATCTTGATGATGACACATTTAAATATTTTCTTGTTCCTGTAGTTAGAGGTTCATTTACAGAAGAAGATTATCAAGAAACAACAGTTGTTGATGTTGTATTAGGCATAATGCCAAGATTAGTAGAAAGTGATTATGGATGGATTGCACGTGGTATTGAAATATTTTATGGAAATGAGACATATAGTTATAGAAAGGAAGCACTTAGAATGATTTGTTATTTGGCAAGTAATAAATTTAACAAAGAGGCAATGCAAAAATACATTATGAAAATTTATTTGAAAATTCCTCATGATAAAGCATGGATTATTAGAAGAGAATTTGTTAGGTCAATGGAATATGTAATTGATAAAATTTTTGATGAAGATGTTGATAATGTGTACAATCAATATATTGAACTTACTCATGATGAACAAAAACAAGTTGTTGCAGGATGTATTGAAATATTACCAACAATTATTAGAAATGAAAGAATTCAATATAAAATGAAAGAATTAAACTTCATTGATACTTTTAGAAAACTCACAACTTTTAATGATAATGTTGATGTTTGTCTTATTAAAATAATTCCTTATCTTATCCAATTATATCCTGAAGAAGAAGAATATTTTCTTAATCTTATGGAAAAGAGTTGTGATTCAATAGAAGAAATAATGAGAAACACAGTTAATATTATCTTTAAACAAGTATTTGATCTCGCACATAATAAGAATATTTTACTTAATATTTTTGAGAAATTAGCTAATGACCAAAGTGCAGGTATTAAAAGTGAAATGAGAAGATATATTTGTGATGTATTATCATTAGATACAGGAAGGTTTAGTGATTTATTTAGAAGTCTTGTTGAAGAAAGTAATTTCCGAGTGAAAGTTAGTATTGCCCAACATCTTCCAGTGTTAAGAACAATGTCATTTTATGATGATGTCCTTGTTAAACTAACAATGAGTGGATTTTTTGGTGTTAGAGAAGTTGCTTTAAAAGAAATTGAGAATTGTTTAAAAGAAAATGAAAGTAAGAGAAGTATATTATTTAATCAATTCTTGACATATCAAAAAGGTAATTGCCATCAACGACAAGCGTTTGTCTCTTTTTCTTTTATTTTTAAATTAACAGTTTAAGGAAATAAATAACATATAGATTGGCTTATGCATTTGCTGCTGTAAGTAAAGGAAATGAAGAATATACAACAAAAGCTACTCCAAACTTAATTCTAATGTTAGATGATCCGATTTCTAATGTGAGAATTAGTACTTTAATTGCATTAGGAAAACTTCATTCATCTTCACAAGACGTAAAATTTGCACTTTCAACATTATTAAAGAATGAACATGATACTGATGTCCACAATATCGCAGAACAAATATATGCGAGGATTTGTTAAGTTTGATGTATTATCAACATTTTAATGTTAAATTTTTCACTTTTTTATGTTATTTATAACTATTTT